GGAGCATGTAACTGCTAAAACTAGGTACCTGCTCCCCCCTCAAATAAAAAACCCTCCAAAAGTGGTGGAGGAGGTGTTAAAGTGGAACGTCCCTTTTACAGTACCTTTCCACTTTATTCAGACCTAAACGTGAAAGATCAGAGACAGTAAATAGATGCAAGTCTGTTTACATCCATCTCCCCCTAGTCTAAAAAAAAAAAACGGAACAGACACCGACGTCACAAAAGTGACGTCTGTCTGTTCTGCTCCAATTCAGCAGGGGATTGGTTGACAGATCCCTGCTGCTCATATCAGATGTAAAAGGGGCCCATGACTTACGTTTTGCTATGGATCAACCGGATGGGATTCTAATAGTTATAAACAACTCAATACAAAATTTACAGTGTTATAAAAAAACAAAACAACAACAAAAAAACAAACAAACAGAAGCCTGTGCTCCAATCTGGCAATAAAAACAAAGCCGTTCCCAGAGGCAGCACAGAATGAGAAGAGTGTGCGCCCGGCCTGTCACTCAGCATGCTGTTACCTGTTTGTGTAGGGACTGCCTGGTGTCCGTGTTGCTGCAGGATGAGGTCCTCTGTGGTGTTCTCTGGAAGCATTTTGCTGCTGATGGGAATTTTTCCAGGTCATACGGAGATCTATGGTGAAGATGCGCTCCCCTTGGCAGCAGTGGGCAGTGATCTTACCTTGCACATCATACTATATGATCCACACTGCTGCTGAGAACAACTTTGTTTCTATTTCAAAATACTTTGCCCTTCAGTGACACAGGCAGCAACTATTCTTAGCAACCTATCAGAGGGCGGGAGGGCGGAGCCTGGGCCAGCAGCATAGTGTGCTGTGCCTAACACAACAACTGCCTGAAACCTGCAGCGTTTACATTCACTTCATTTGCATTCTTTTTGTCATTAATGTCAGCTTAGGAAACATTTAGAGCAGGATTTAAAGGTGAGCGAAGAGCCAGCTCCTCTATTCGGATATTACAACCAGGCTTCTTCTGTAGGCAAAACTTTTCGGGCACCTAAAACTTGCTCGGGGTTAAATAGTCTTTTATTTAACCTTGGTGCCCAAGTATTATTTGCCTTCTTATAAAGGTTGAGAATTTTGCTTTTATTTATTTATTTATTTATTTTTTTGCTGTCTGCAAAAAATAATTAAAACAAAAATCTCAAAGTAAATTAAAGTGCTGCATAGATATTATTATTGTTATACAGAATTTATACATGGGCAGCACAGTGGCTAAATGGTTAGCACTTCCGCCTGGCAGTACTAGGGTCGTGGGTTTGTGTCCCAGCCATGGCACCACCTGCCTGGAGTTTGCATGTTCTCCCTGTGCCTGCGTGGGTTTCCTCCAGTTACTCTGGTTTACTCCCACACTCCAAAGACATGCTGGTAGGTTAATTGGATCCTGTCTAAATTGTCCCATGAATGTGAGTTAGTGACCTTAGATTGTACACCCCTTGAGGGTAGGGGACTGATGTGAATGTTCAATATGTATGTAAATTGATGGTGCTATATAAGTACCTGAATAAATAAATATAGTGCCAACAATTTGAGAAGTGCTTTACAATATAAAGGGAGACAGGACAGTTACAATACAATTCAGGGCTGGTTCACACCAGCTGCAGTCCAGTGCATTTCTATTCTGCATCAAAAACATATCGATAGTGTTTTACATGGATTCCAATGGCCATTGTTCACACCAGTGCAGTGCGTTCCAGTGCAGTCAACAAAAGTAGATCACCAGAATGCACTTGTCCTCAACTGAGATGAAAAAAAAAAAAAGATGGGAAAACAGAAACGCATCAAAAATGCACCGGAATGCATAAAAAAGCACTAAAAATATACATCAAGAAACACAGTCGGAATGCAGAAATTGTGGTGTGAACCAGTCCACAATACAAGGGGGTTAGAAAGACTCTGCTCATGAGAGTTTACATAATGCATTGGAGCTCTCATTATCTCTCTCTCTCCTCTTTCATATGTATGTATTATTATTATATTACAGGATTCATATAGCACCAACAGTTTTAGCAGTGCTTTACAATATAAAGGGAGACAGGACAGTTACAATACAACTCAGGGCTGGTTCACACCAGATGCAGTCCAGTGCATTTCTATTCTGCATCGAAAACGTATGGATAGTGTTTTACATGGATTTCAATGGCCATTGTTCTCACCAGTGCAGTGCGTTCCAGTGCAGTCAACAAAAGTAGATCACCAGAATGCACTTGTCCTCAACTGAGATGAAAAAAAAAAAGATGGGAAAACAGAAACGCATCAAAACACAACGGAATGCATAAAAAAGCACCAAAAACATACATCAAGAAACACAGTCGGAATGCAGAAATTGTGGTGTGAACCAGTCCACAATACAAGGGGGTTAGAAAGACTCTGCTCATGAGAGTTTACATAATGCATTGGAGCTCTCATTATCTCTCTCTCTCCTCTCTCATATGTATGTATTATTATTATAATACAGGATTTATATAGCACCAACAGTTTTAGCAGTGCTTTACAATGTAAAGGGAGACAGGACAGTTACAATACAACTCAGGGCTGGTAAACACCAGATGCAGTCCAGTGCATTTGTATTCTGCATCAAAAACGTATGGATAGTGTTTTACATGGATTCCAATGGCCATTGTTCACACCAGTGCAGTGCATTCCAGTGCAGTCAACAAAAGTAGATCACCAGAATGCACTTGTCCTCAACTGAGATGAAAAAAAAAAGATGGGAAAACAGAAACGCATCAAAACACGCCGGAATGCATAAAAAAGCACCAAAAACATACATCAAGAAACACAGTCGGAATGCAGAAATTGTGGTGTGAACCAGTCCACAATACAAGGGGGTTACAAAGACTTTGCTCATGAGAGTTTACATAATGCATTGGAGCTCTCATTATCTCTCTCTCTCCTCTCTCATTTGTATGTATTATTGTTATAATACAAGATTTATATAGCGAACAAAAAAAGTAATGAAGGCGCAAGTAAATAATCAGTTTTAGAATACACCACCCAAAGTCTTACAGGAAGTGATGAAGTTCATCCAATGGTAATAGATAACATAACCAAATATACCAGGTGACGTCCATCCAGAGTTAGTGTGGAGATAAATGTCCATTCACTGAGGGCAGCCTCTGATTAAAAACTGAAGCAACGTGACAAAGGAGCACGCCCGTCACTTAACACACGGTGCGTATTCTCGGAAATGCATCGCCTTACGCCCGGTGACGTCATTACACCCAGCAGAGCGCTCCACAAGCGCTCCAGCCCTTATTCTCAGATCCTCTCCATCTCACGGCTGGCTTTCTGGAACCAATCAGAGAACAGCTAGTGGAGGGAACAGCATGCCTGATGACCTCTTCCCGATGTCGTTTTTTTTTAGATGTGCCTTATGTTTCTACTTTTATGTGAGTTGCCAGTTGTTTTTTATTATTAAAATTGCAAAGAATGTCTACACTTAGAGGTATCTCTCTCTCTCTTTTTTTAGGATTTATAAAGCACCAACAGTTTGCACAGAGCTTTACAACATGAGGGCAGAAAGTACAGTTACAAAACAAGTCAATACAGGAGGAATCAGAGGGTCCTGCTCCTTAGAGTTTATAATCCAAAAGGGAGGGTCAAGTGATACAAAAGGTAGCAGCTTTGGGGGATGAGCAGTGGGGGATGAGATGATACACACACACACACCAAATAGATGGGATGCGATAACAACAATCTGCTGCGATCAATCTCTTTTATTCCTCGTAGGGTGAAAACAAAAAGTTAAAGCACAATATTAGTAATAAACAAGCAACGGAAACAGATGTAATGTTACTATTTGTTTTCATTGTAAAAGGAATAAAAGAGGTTGAGCAGATCACTTGTATCCACGGGCGGACTGACAACTCATGGGGCCCCCAGGCAATAGGGGATCATGGGGCCCCTGTGTCCTTGCCCAAACTCAAAAAAGCCTATGAAAAAGTTACCAGGGGCATCTCATGGGGCCCCCTACTGACCCCGGGCCCTCGGGCAGTGCCCGAGTTTCCAAATGGTCAGTCCACCCCTGCTTGTATCGCATACCATCTATTTAGTATATTATTGTGCAGAATGTGGAGCATGCATGGGAAGTATACCCTTCATTGAAGGACTTAAACTGGCCATATGTGCAAACAGAACCAATCCTTACAGTCGTTGACATGATGCTTGCAAAGCCCATTCGTATGACAATTTCAAATTCTCACCAGACTGTGCAACCCAACAAGGGTCAAATACTTTTATACATTTTGGGTCTCACAATGTGGCGAGAATTTGAAATTATCATAGGAATTTGAATGACTGTATAAATGCTGGTTCTTTTTGCACATATTTATCTGCTTGGGTAGTGTTTTATTGCCAGCAGCTAAGGGACTCCTGACTGCTTAGGATTGTAGCACTGAATTTTTTTTTTTATAAATTGGCCAAACACAAATCAAAATTCCACTGGTTCAACAGGAACTGACTGAATTTTGATCCATATCTGGCCATTCCTATTCATGAAAAGTCAATTTATTTATTGACTTCTCGTGAATGGTCCTGCTGGAAAAAATTTTGCTCAATCATTAAATGTAGCCAGTGGGCTGCAGCTTTGATCAGTGTATTCTGATGGCAGAGCTGACTCACACTGTTGGAATACAATGACACAGCAAGGAGGATTTCCACATAGAATGTGTGGATGGGGGAATCCCTACAGTTTTTTTATTGTTATGCTAGTTGGCTTAATAAAAAAACTGAAACTGTACCATGTATGGCCAGCTTTACACCTTATGTGCAGCTCACACAAATTAGCAATTAGATAGATAGATAGATAGATAGATAGATAGATAGATAGATAGATAGATACACTATATTGCCAAAAGTATTGGGACTCCCCTTCAAATAATTGGATTCAGGTGTTCCAATCACCTCCATGGCTACATGTGTATAAAATCAAGCACCTAGGCATGCAGACTGCTTCTATAAACATTTGTGAAAGAATGGACCGCTCTCAAGAGCTCAGTGAATTCACGCGTGGTACCATGATAGGTTGCCCCCTGTGTAATAAGTCCTTCCATGAAATATTCTTGCTACTAAATATTCCACGGTCAACTGTTAGTGGTATTATAACAAAGTGGAAGCCACTGGGAACAACAGCAACTCTGTCACGAAGTGGTAGGCCATGTAAAATGACAGAGCAGGGTCAGCACATGCAAGTGTCAATAGCTAAAGATCTCCATTCTTCATGTGGCCTTCAGATTAGCACAACAACAGTGTATAGAGAGCTTCATGGAATTAATTTCCATGGCCGAGCAGCTGCATCCAAGTCTTACATCACCAAGTGCAATGCAAAGCATCGAATGCAGTGGTATAAAGCATGGCACCACTGGACTCTAGAGCAGCAGAGATGTGTTCTCTGGAGTGATGAATCATGCTTCTCTGGCAATCTGATGGACATGTATGGGTCTGGCAGTTGCCAGGAGAACGGGACTTGCCTGACTGCATTGTGCCAAGTGTAAAGTTTGGTGGAGGGGGGATTCTGGTGTGGGGTTGTTTTTCAGGGGTTTGGCTTGGCCCCTTAGTTCCAGTGAAGGGAACTCTTAAGACGTCAGCATACCAAGACATTTTGGACAATTTCATGCTTCCAACTTTGTGGGAACAGTTTGGGGATGGCCTCTTCCTGTTCCAACATGGCTGCACACCAGTGCACAAAGCAAGGTTCATAGAGACATGGGTAAACGAGTTTGGGTGGAGGAACTTGACTGGCCTGCACAGAGTCCTGACCTCAACCCAACAGAACACCTTTGGGATGAATTACAGCGGAGACTGCGAGCCAGGCCTTCTTGTCTGACATCAGTGCCTGACCTCACAAATGCGCTTCTGGAAGAATGGTCAAACATTCCCATAGACACTCCTAAACCTTGTGGACAGCCTTCCCAGAAGAGTTGAAGCTGTTATAGCCACAAAGGGTGGGCCAACTCAATATTGAACCCTACGGACCAAGACTGGGATGCCATTAAAGTTCATGTGTGTTTAAAGGCAGGCATATGTTGCTTGGGCTGACCGATAATGTATTGTCATGTATTAGCTTTTCTATGCATACAAATGTTGATAGGATAACTTCTAGGAATAGGAATCAGTTAACCAGAAAAAACTGTCATGATGCTACACATAAAGTACAAGAGATTACTATGCCTACATCATTCTGGTTTTCTAATCACTTTCAAGTATCTGCTACTGGCTGGCATCATATGATAACTTATTATCACACAACAAATGTTATTTTTAATACACATGACATGCGGAAATGCAGCTCTAGGCAAAATGTTTTTTGTTGTTTTGAATAGAGTGGTGAAGAATTAGATCCTCTTTCAAGTTTTATTGCTGCTTATGTGTTCACTGGGAGATTCACCCTTCTATTTGTACTGATGATCATTGTCACTGAGAAAACAAGGGAGGTAAAATACTAAATTTTGTCCCCAGAACAAGAGGAAAGAGAAAATCAATGGGGACATCGATTCCAGGGACAACTGTCAAAGCTAGAAATTCCCTGTGCTTGGTAGATCTTCTCCAATTTCCTCAATTTTTCACAGCCGGCATATAAATAAATAAATATTAACCTGGCATTGACTGGTATGCTGGCATTATTATTATTATTATTATACAGTATTTATATAGCGCCAAAAGTTTGCTCAGCACTGTACATTACAATGGGAGACAATACATGAGACAGTACAATAACAATACAATACACAAGGGGTTCCAGGGCCCTGCTCCTTGGAGCTTACAATCTAGGAGGGAGGGGATAGTGGTACAGGAGGAAATGGCTGTGTGGGATGGAGTGGTAGGAGGAGTGGAGGAGATCGGCAGTTAGGAGAGGGCGGGGTAGGCTTCCCTGAAGAGATGGGTTTTCAGGGTGCGCCTAAATGTGAGGAGGGTAGGTGACAGTCTGATGGATTGGGGTAGTGAGTTCCAGAGGATGGGGGAAGCCCTGGAGAAATCCTGGAGCCGAGCATGGGAGGAGGAGACCAGGGAGCTAGAGAGTAGGAGGTCTTGTGAGGAGCGAAGAGTACGTGTTGGGTGGTATTTGGATATCAGGTCGTGATGTAGTTTGGGGCAGTATTATGGATAGCTTTGTGCGTCAATGTTAGCAATTTGAATTTTATGCGTTGGGCAATCGGAAGCCAGTGGAGGGATTGGCAGAGAGGGGGCTGGCGGATACGGAGCGGTTGGTAAGGTGGATGAGTCTGGCCGCAGAGTTCAGGATAGACTGAAGCGGGGATAGTCTGTGATGAGGTAAGCCGGAGAGGAGGGAGTTACAGTAGTCAATTCGTGACATAATAAGGGAGTGAATGAGTTGTTTAGTAGTTTCTGGGGTTAGGAACGAACGTATTTTGGAGATGTTGCGGAGGTGGAGCCTGCATGAATTTGCCAGCGATTGGACATGGGGCTGGAAGGACAGATTGGAGTCTAGAGTGACACCTAGAACTTTGGCTTGCGGGGTGGGACTGATGGTGGTGTTGGTCATGATGGAGAGGTTATCCTGTTGATTCCAAGGAAGTATAATTCATATTTTCAATGATTGTACAATGTCTACAAAAATGAATTCTGTACAATACTGCAAACCTCAGTAACAGTTTGAGTGAATTTGAATAACAATTTTGGGGGTGTATTTGATAGCTCATGTAGATTCAGCATTCTAAAGGGTGATTAAATTGTTAAATCTATATTTGTAAAAGATTATACAACAATAAAAAAGTACAGTTTGACCTTGTGGGACATGGCTCCTTATATGGCAATGAATTAACTTTAAAGGAATGGATAACCAAATCGAAGCTTGTGTGCTCACTGTTGATGGACTAAAACACCCATTTGCCATAAAGCGAATATAATATAAATGTGTACCAGTTCTGAATTGAAGCTGAACACTGATAGAAGTCACAGGACTGCTATTACTGCTGATGAGAAAAGGTATTTAGCAATTTATATTTTTTAAAATAATTGCATTTCCATGTTCTGTGTACTGTGGATACCAGATATAGGTGTCCTTTTATGACACAGAGAATAGCTGCGATTCAACGGATCTCAGCTATTCTCTGGTCATTCACAGTTTATGACACTCAGGAGATCATGTCAGTCCTTCGCTGGAGATCTGTGTTCTCCCTCCAGATTCTCCAGCCCAAAGCTGGAGAATCAGAGGGACCGAAAACTAAGCAGAGATAATTTACCTCTGCTTAGTAAACTGATCTTTTACTGTAATCTCGTGAGATTATAGTAAAATGAGCCGTTTTTCAGAGTTTGTAGACCGTTCTCCAGCGTTTGGAGACCGTTCTCCCTTCGTTCGGAGAACTGCTTCATAAACTGCATTCACAGGAGAACTGTGTTCTCCGAGAATGCCGGAGAACTGAGCAGCGATCTATTACCGCTGGTCCATAAACGGACACCATAGTGAATGCAGGACCCCGGGTTTAGTAACACTTTAAGATTGCCCAGTAGGATGCAGAAAGAAATATACAGTTTAGGTTTTTATCTTAAAGAATCCTTCAGAGGAAATGGAAAATCAATATCAATGTAAAGCATTCTTCTGAAGAAGAGAAACATTGAGATTAATTTGAGCTACATTGAGAGATTAGTCTGTTAATAGACATTGAGATAAGAAAGACATTTTGAATGTCAGTAAAGGATTGACATGGGATGTCACTTACTCATAGTCTGGGCTGGAAAATATAGTCATTTTAAAGACTATGGGCTGAAGAGAGAATTTAAATTTAAACCATCTCCAGTTAGAGCATAATACAGAGTGATTTATTTCTAATTACAGGTAGAAGGATTCTAAAGGACTGCATTCTATCTGTAAGGGGCTACGTTGGACTTTCTGAAAAAGACTGCCCTGTTGGAAGAACTTGCCATAATAAAGGTAGATTACCATTTGAGAAATTACTCTGTAAAAAACGCCATTTCAAAGACATTCCTGTAATCACAATGGGGCTTGGAAGGTAAATTGTAGAAAAGTATTGAGACATAGGAGTTGTTTTACTAAAACTGGAGAGTGCATAATCTGGTGCAGCTGTGCATGGTAGCTAATCAGCTTCTAACTTCAGCTTGTTCAATTAAGCTTTGAAAAAAAAAAACCTGGAAGCTGAGTGGTTTCTATGCACAGCTGCACCAGGTTTTGTACACTTCAGTTTTAGTAAATCAACCCCTGTGTTTGGTACCTTGAAAGTCCCATTGCGTTTAATGTGGAATCAAAAATAGGTAAGAGGAATGTAAGTATCTACATATTGATTACCAGATAGCTTTGGTCAATATAGTTGCATGTAAAGTGACCATTAGTGTAATGTTGGGTACACACTATCAGTTTTTCTTTCGTTCAACCCAGCAGACTGACCAAAAAAAAAATGAAGAGTTTAGGAGGAGCTCCCTGTACTAACTATCCGATGTCCCTTCTGAGCTATTGTGTTCTGACAAGGGGACTGCTCCCAGAACACACCAGTCAGCGATGGCAGCCAACACTGATTGGGTGCCAATTGGATACTGTTTTTTCCGTTTTCCGGCTAGCTTCTGTCAGACAGGCGTGTATACGCACAGGCCGAATGTCGTCTTGTTTCTATTTTTTTTTTTAAATTTAAATATTTATTTATTTTCAATATAATATACACATTTCTTCATCAGTTTCATATGCAAAAAGATCATTTTCCAAAACCCTATTATTACTTTACAACCCCTATTTTCTTCCCTCTGCCACCCCCGAACCCCCACCCAAAAACCCACCCCCCCCCTACAATGCCTCCATTTTCCCAATTAATAAACCCCCACTCTGCATACTTCTAATGACTTTTCCCTAAATAAATATACAAGAACTTCCTCCTAAGATATTACTTCATAGATCTTGCTACAAAATCTTCCCATTTTCTCCACTTCTTAAAAAATAACCCCATCTTGTCTACTTGCATGTAGTATAATTTCTCCATCTTACATATCTGATTTGTTCTTTCTACCCAGTCCTCCTCTCTCGGTATCTCTGGTCTATGCCAAAACCTAGGAATCAGACCTTTAGCCGCATTCAAGTAATGCCATACACCGGAGTCTTTATATCTATTTACTGGTAGATCTGTACTATGTAATAGACACACCTCAGGGTTCAATCCTATTTTTATCCCAGTGATTATCGAAATTAATTGGACTATTTTCTCCCAGAAGGTTTGTATCATTGGGCACTCCCACCATAGATGATATAAGGTACCTATTCTTCCACATCCCCTCCAACACTCTAAAACCTTTCCCCCATTCATCTTGTGTTCCACGTTTGGTGCAATGTGCCATCTCGATAAACATTTATAATTTACCTCCACCTCTCTCATGCTTATATTTTCGTGTATCAACCTATATATTTTCCCTTGTTTTTTCCTCATCTATCTCTAGTTCCAAGTCTCTTTCCCATTTTGCTATATACAATGGCTTTGTGTTTGTAACTAACTCGGTGAGAATTTTATATACCTTAGCTGTGCCCCGTTTCCCATCTCCACGTGCATCTAACAACCTCTCAAACGGATTCCAATCCCTTCTCATTCTCAAAGGTTTCGGAAGATTTTTAACAAAGAGTTTTAATTGGTGATATCTCCATTCATCTATTTTAATAAAAAGTTCTCTTTTATCTGTTTTCAAGTCCTTAAG